GCCGCCGTCCCGGGGCAGCGAGGGTGGCCGTGGGGCTGCGATCCACACTGGGTGGCTGCTGAACTGCGGGAGCTGTTCCGGGATTCCCATTAAAAGAGGCAGACTTTCTTAAAACCAAGGGCGGGAGCCCGCTGCACTGCTCGGGGACCCGGGGAGGATCCGGGGGAAAGGCAGGAGGGGGAAAGCAGCGCAATGTTTTGGAATAAAGCTCCTAAGCCAGAATCGCTGCTGTTCGAGACAAAAAAAAAAAAAGCGACACCCGTTTTAGTTCAGTCAACAACAACAGACTTTATTTATGCCACAGGATTCCTTAAATAACTCAGATGTGCACAGAGAAACTACCTAGAGATGTCAACGAAACAGTCTTGAGACATTCAGTACGATACCGGGGCGCGTTTCTCATCGCGAGTATCGTACGTAAGCTTTGGTGTGCAGTTTTAGGACATACTGGCAAGTTTAACACAGCATCACAAAGACTCGTGGCCTCGTGCGTCCCTCGTGCCGCCACGCACCTCTGCCCTGCTCCGGCACGGGCGGGAGCTTCGCTTACGGGATTGAACGGTGAAAACAGGGCTCCAGAGGCGAATGGCGTGTGACCGGGAAGGCTCCCGGAGGCTTTCGGGGCACTTAAGCCACCTAAAGCACAAGGTCTACGGCGCTAAACCAATCAGCAGCGAAGCAACCACGCCGCCGCAGCAGCTCCGGCGGCAGGCTGGGGCGGGCGAAGGGGCGAGGCCCGGCGCGGACCGGACACAACACTAACGGGAACCTGGACGTTTGGCAGGCGAAGGCTGCGAGAGCGTGGGGCGGGATCACTGCTGGGCAGCCTGCTGCATCTGCGCCTGACGCTTGGCTTTCGTCTGGAGGTACCTGCCCTTCCCTTCCTCAAAGCGCCGCTTCTCATCCTCCGTCTCCGTCTGCCGGCGACACAAAGAAAGCGAAGCCACCAGCGTTAGCTGCCACGGGGCAGCGCAGCTCTCCCGTGCTGCACCTTGCAAACACGTGCAGGAGGGAAACGCGCCTCCCCTTACAGGAAATGTAAAGGAAAACCTGCGCTCCGTGAAATACGTGTTTTGACAGCTAATGTACTCCTGCACAGAGCAGGAGGAGACCTGCGCGGGATAAACTATTAATCAAGAAACAGCCCCCAGTCAGCAGCACCGTGGCAGCAAAACCCTGCCAGGTTCAGGAGAGCTAAAAATAGGCAGGAGGGCTGAGGCGGGGACGGGACGGGGGACGCGGGGGCCTCCGTCGCTGCTCAGGGTCCCCTCCCGTGCATCTCCAGCGCGGGCAGGAGGGGAAGCTGCAGAGCTTGCATGCAGCCTGTCCTCATCCGCGAGAAAGGAAAAAAACCCCAATCTCCACATCAGCAATTTTCAGAAGAAATTTAAAAAAAAAAAAACCCTGAAGTCTGCTCTGGAAAGTCTCATTCATGCTCATATTTTTCTGCTGAATAATTCAAAGGAAGGGGATTTGTTGGACAAAAAAGCCGGCGGGGGTCTGCCCCGGGAGGAGCAGGAGAGGGGCTGGCCCAGCTGGCTTGCAGCCTGGTGGGGAGAGTTCTTACCAGCAGCTGCGGGACAGGCAGGGGCTTCCCCTCCTTGCTCAGGGAGACGTAGGTGAAGAAGGCGCTGACAGCACGGTACCGCTCCCGAGGCTCGTCCACGAATGGGTCGGCATCCACAAAGACTTCGATTTCCATGGATTTATTGCTCGTGAAGGTCATGCGCCCCGAAATGGTGATGACGCTGCCTGCGAAGCAGAGAGGGGCCGGTTAAGCAGGCAGCCCCTGCTTCTGCTCAGAGGAAGGGAGCAAGGGGTCCCACATGTTTTATGCTTAAGCCATGTCTTAAGCGGAGCTTCTTGGCACAGGACAAGTCTAACGGGGACTAAATTTCTCTGCCAGTGTGTCCCGAGCGCGCACCCAAGGGAGTTAGGACGTGGCACCGTGGGAGAGCAAAGTGCCCGCCACCACCCCCTGGTACCTTTTTTGATCTTCTCGTGGAAGTTGATGGCGTCCACTGAGGCGGTGACAATGTTTGTCTTGCAGTGGCGGGCGGCCCACATCCCCGCACACTCATCCCTGAGCTTT